ACCGCTCCACCGTGCTGCCGCCACCAACACCCCTTCGGCCCCAGCACCCTGCACCACCTGTCCCCAGAGGTGGGCACCCCTCACCCTGCACCCCTCTGCACCCCAGGACCAGTCGGGGACTTCATCACCATCTTTATTAGAGGCAAGCCCACAGCAGGCCAGGTGTACACGGCAACACGCTACGCTACAGACGCCATTCCATGCAGGCAACCACGGCTACACACACAGCAGGAGGAGGGGCTGGGACTCCTCGGGAATGGGGGTCCCCAGCTCTCAGGGGTCCCCACTGCAGCACTGGCACCAGGGGCTGGGGGGGTTGTTTGGGGGTTCTGCTCCATCCCATGGCCTTGGGAACTGGGCTGAGCTGGGAGACACTGAGGAGCATGTGGGGGGTTCAGAGCCTCGAGTACCCCTCAGCTGTGTGGTGGATTCCTCCCCAGAGCTGGGGACAGCTGGGCTGAGCTCCCAGTGCCTGTGGGTCCCTCCTGGGCTGGGGACCTTTGCACCATCAGAGGTCAGGAGCTGCCAGGCCCGATGAACCATGGCATGGCAGGAGCAGATCAGAGCCGTGTCCCCTGGGGCAGGTGGCAGGGACTGTCACCCTGACCATCCGGGGGATGTCTCCATCGGAGCCCAGTGCTTCTGGCAGACTGGTGCTGGTGTATTATTGTCCCTGTGCCCTGCAGCACATGAGTGCTTCCCCCTGGATTTCAGCTCAGAGGAGCACTCCTCACCCCCGGTGCTGCCAGACCCCCTGGGCACCGTGCCTGCTTCTTCCCCCGACAGCAAACCACAGCAGAGACCCCCCGTGCTGCTTTTTGCCTGGGGCCCAGCAAACCATGCCCAGGGGCAAGGAGCAGGAAAACCACTGCTGATTCCATGCTAGCACTGGGATAAAACTGGGTTGAGGCAGAGTGGGCAGGGAAACAGAACCAAAATCATTGACCTTATGTGCTGCCATCCCATGGAACAAACCTGTAACCCTTCTGCTAGCAAAGCTCTGGAGATGGAAGAGGTGGGTTCTTCACCCTCTCCAAGCATGGAACTGTGAGGCACCACTGCCCTCAGGGACAGGCTGGGGAAATGAAGGCTGCTGGTTCATGGGGCCTGGCATTTGTTTGGCCTCGCTCCATCTGCTTTCACCTGGATATTCATTAACAGCTGCCTCGGGTGACAAGGAAGAGGAGAAGGAGGGTGGATTTATGCACTGCAGGTGAAGTGTGCCTGTGTATGCAGGTCACGAATGGCTCCCTTTCAGCTCACTGTTCACTCTGAAACATAATGACGGCAGCACGCTCTGCATTACCAGGGGAATGTTAGTGAGTGGGGACCTGCAGCATCAGGAAGGACTGGGTGGACACTGGGGAGGACAGGGTGGCTTGTCTCAGCCCTGGGGCAGGGGCATAGCGGGGATAAGCAGCAGTTTTCCTGCCTGTAGCAACATCCATGGGACACACACTGCTCCCTGCAGCACAGGAGCCTCCACCAGACCCGAGGGAGCTGCCTGGGAGCAAGGGGTGATTCAGAACCTGGGTGTATCCCCACGTAGGGCCACCACTGGAGGCAGTGGGTGCCTGCAGAAGCAACTGGCAGCCCTTTCCATGGGCCAGCTCTGCCAGCTCTCAGCTCCTGAGAGCACACCCAGACCATGACAGTCTCTGTGCATTCATCTGTTTTCTGGTCCCTGTGCATCCTGGGGAGAAGTTGCGTCCCATGATCTGTCCATCCATGGATGATGCCACCAAAACCTGCCCATGTATCCCTGGCAGCTGAGCAGGGAACAGCATCTGTGAGACTCCTTGGGTTTGGAGTGGGTTGAGGGGAGACCTGGATACGCAGAAACTCTCCCTCACTCCCTGCAGCCATCCAGGAGCATCAGAGGCAGCACCAGTAGCACTGTGAGAGCACCAGCCTGGCAAAGCACACGGGGAGATGTGTCAAAAGGCAGGGGGGACACTTCCAAGTGAGAAGAGCTTCTGCATGTCTGTCCCCAGGATCCCCAGCTGGCTTTAGGAAAGAGAAAAGTCCATGTGGAAGAAGGTGGTGTGGAGGACAGCCAGCAGAGAAGGTAGGTGGTGCTTGTGTCCAACCCAGCCTCATAAAAAGAAATTGACCCCCGAAGTCCCCCCCGAAGTTTGCTAAATAAATACATAAATATGAACTCAAAGCCCAGAGCCAGGGTGTGGGAGTTTCCCAGGACCTACAGCTTCCCCCAAATCCCTTTTCTTGCCATTTCCCCATGAAAACAGTCTCCTCCCATCCACCCCACACCTGTCCCTGTGCACTGTCTGTCCCCAGCCTGTTCCACACCTAGTGGCTCACAGGGCTGGTGGCCATGGCTCTTTGCATCTCTCCAGAAATGGAGAGGCAAGGGGCTGAGACAGCTCCTCTAGACTAAGGAAATAAATAACTCCTCCGATTGCAAGGCTGGGGGGCAGAAAGCCACTGCAGGGAGACATCGAGTGATGTTCGGGAGGATGCAAAATAAATAAGTGGAGCTCGGTGTTGCCTCAGGAACACATTCACTCACAGCTTGGCTGGGGGGTATTTAAATAAAGGGCAAAACAATCCCAGTCCTGGTGCTGCTCTGGTGAACGTGCTCCCTGCCTGCACCCTGCCTTCACCCACCGCGGCCGTCCTGGCTGGAGAAGGTGCTTGTGGTGGTCAGGAAGGAGCCTCCAAGATCTGCCCAGGATAAATAATCCCTGCTGGGCTTGGAGGGGGAGTTTCTGTCCCTGCTGCAGAATGGGGATTTGGGGACCCCCTGCAGCAGGAGGGTGGCAGGGACACCGGGTGCCTCTGGGCTGCGGCTCCTTGGACACTGCTTAATCCCGAGTTCGGTTTCTCCTCTTCAGGAAAAAGAAGCTGCTCTTCTGGGGGGGCCCCAGCAGCATTGGCACCTGGCTTTTATGTGTAATTTTGACCTAAAAAGACATGGAAAAACTCAGCTCAGTAAGGGGTCCTAGGGGACTCAGGACCCTGGGGAGTGACCCCAGCACGCTGCAAGCAGCTCAGAACCCAGCACTGGGGCAAAGAGCTCTGCAATCATGTCCAAGCAGTACTGGGAGGGGAAGAGGATTTCTCCTCCAGGCAAGATGCCTGCTGGATGGTGGGGGACACCACTGCAAATCCCCCAGGAAGGGATGCTGCTGCACCCATTCACCCAGCAAGGGATCAGCGTGTCCCTGTCCCCACAGCTCCCGTCATGGCTTGTCATGAGTCTGGGGGCAGCATAGGCACAGTCACAGCTGTTCGGGCTCTGCAGCCACCCACCAGCAAGTACAGGAGCCTCCCTTCAAATCCAGAGGCTTTGCCATGGGGAGCCAAGGCTGTCCCATCCTAATGCCCTCTGCGCCCCATCCCAACATCCTGCCAGCCCCTCTGCTCCATCCCAACATCCTGCCAGCCCCACCCCAGGGACTCACAGTGCAGGATGGCTGCATCCAGGGCTCCCCATCCACCTGCATGGGCAGCAGCTTGGATGTCCTGCAAAGCAAAAATAGAGGGAAAAGGGGGTGACACGGGCACCAGGTTTTGCCGTTGATCAGGCACTCAGGTGGGACAGGGACACACACCTGATTGTGACGGAGGAACACTGGGCTAGTCTCTTCCCAGCACTCTTCAGCCCCGTGTAGATCTGCCCCATCTCCATCGCACCCTCCAGCCCCACCACCTCCAGGAGATGGTCGCTGAGGTCTGCAAGAGAGAAGCATCTCAGTTGGTTCCCTCATCCCTAGGGATCTCCTGCCTTCTGCTGTCATCTGAAACACTGGGGCCAGCATACCAGGGCTACTGACTGCCCTGGAAGGCTGTGGTGCTGTGGGCATTGTAGGAATGTGTTCTGATGTCCCCTGTGTCCTGACACCACTGAGCTGGGTGTTTGCAGCACTGGGCAGTGCTGCTATCCAAAATCTCTGGAGGAAAAAAACCCCCGAAACTCCTGGTCTGAAACAGCACCCAGTCCTGCATGGTTGCAGGGTGCCAGTCAAGATCCCCACCAGCCCTTGAACTGTTTGTTTACAGTGCATGAAATGGTGACAACCCTTCTCTGGGTGCCCTGGGGTGCTGCAGCCTCCCAGGAGCCAGCATGCATGGCAGAATGCACACTGAAAAATCTGCTCAAATCCCAGGACATTGCCCTCTTCCCAGCTCATCCTGCTCTTCTGGGCTGTTAGCAAAGGCAGCCAACACTGGTGCAACTCACTCCTTCAGGTCCTCTTTCACACTCCTCTCACCCCCGAGAAGAAGTCCTCTGAGCCTCCCACCCCCTCCTACCCACCCACAAGTGGGGATGTCCTCAGGGTATCACCCCTGCTGTCCCCTGCAGTCCCATTAGGACTGGCTTTCACTCTGTCCCACTCCCTGCTGCTTGTTCCCACCCAAGAGACAGCCAGTGATGGCCTGGGATGGCCAGTGACACCACCATCCCAGCAGCCACATCACAGGGGCTGTTTCCCATGCCATCCCTGGGCAGTGGGAGGTGGGGGGTGGAAAATCCAGGCACTTTGTCTATTTTGCTGGCTGCTCTCTACCCCACTGCTCCCCACTGGGGAACGCTGCCAGCATCCCCTGCCCACGGGGATGGCTCCAAAGGCTGAGTGTGAGCTGCTGGCCAGGGCACAGCATGGGGACTGTGCTGCCCATGAACCCACATCTAGGCTGGCAGCGCTGTGGCGGAGCCTGGAAGACGCTTACAAAAGCCCTTGGTGCCAGCTCTACAGGCAGTTCCAGCTCCTCCTCTGCTGCAGCAGGCAGCTGACCCTGCAGTGGCTCCCTGCCAGCCCCATGGGGCACCAGGGCTGCCCAGCACCATGCCCACAGGTGAGGGGTCCCATCTGGGCACCCCCTGAGCTGTGATCCCAGGAGGAGGGGGCAGAGGTGGATGGCAGGGAACGAGAGCCATGTCCTCTCTGGACACCAGGGCATGGCATAACCAGCCCTGAAGAAATGCAGTGCTGGGCTACACCAGAGGACAGAAATAGCCTGGACAGATCACTGTTGGGGTCACCCTGGCACCCCAAAAGAGACCTGACAACAGCCCCTGCAAAGCTGTTGCTCCAGAACCAGCAGCTGCCCAGCTCCCTGTACCAACCCCGTGCAGCCCAGTCACCCAGGGCTCACCCTGCACGCAGAACTTCAGCTCCTTTGCATCGGTGACCACGGTGCCAGGAATCTTCTCCGGCACCTTCTTGCCCAGCCGGTTGTAGCCGCGCTGCTTCTTGGTCTCGCCCCAGAGGTTGGAGCCGCCGTACATGCTGGGGATGTTGAGGACAGCAATGCCCTCCAGGGACGTGTTGCTCAGGTCTAGCAGGGTCCCATCGCACTGCCAGGCATGTGGGCAGGGTCAGGACACGGGGCAGGGAAGCTGGTGCCCATCCCTGTGGAACAGCCTCCTTTCCCCACCACAGCACTGTGGGTCCCCGAGCACAGCATGACACCAGGCAGTCCCCAGGCAGTCCCAGGCAGCCCTGGGATGGCTGGGGCTGGAGATGTAAACAAATACCCTCCACTTTGCTTTCCTAGAGCTGACAACCACCACCTCACCCTCCTTGTGCTGCGCCCCCCTCTATTTCCATAGGAATTTTACTCTAAGGCCAAGGTGGCAGTTTCAAAATGGGAGAGATCACACAAAACCTCAGCTGGGCTCAGTGCTGTGACCCAAAATAGGAGGCAACACCACCTCAGCCCTGGAGTGACCTCCATCCAAGGAGCTCTAGCACATGCTCCCCCACCTCCCCTTGTTCAAACCCACTCCAAAGGATCGGAAAGTTTGGCTGCCCAAAACCGAACTCAAAGCAGTTTGTCTTCAAGTGCCATTTGCAAGCTAGAAATGAGGCTGGAAGCAAATCATGGGAAATATGTCAGAGGGAAAACTGCCAGGTTCTGGAAAGAAAAGCACAAGGCAGCACACAGAACTGGCATCCCAGGCTTCGCTGTGTACAGCAGGACTGCCCTCACTGAAAATTCCCGGTGAAAGGTGAGATATCTGCTGCCTGCAGCCCTTCCACAGCAAGCAGCAGCTGTGGAAATGCTGCTGCCTGCAGCCCTTCCACAGCAAGCAGCAGCTGTGGAAATGCATTCCTTAGCTTCAGGTCTTTTCACACTCCCCAGATGTGGATTCCCTTCCTAGATACCTCCAGAGGAAGTAGCCACTTTCCCATCCAAGTGCAATTTATCTAGAGCCTTCCCATTTTCCTTGAGGCTCTGCTCTCTACCTGCCACTCTGCACTTGAGCAAATCCCAGCACAGCTTTCTCCTCTCATTTTGGAGATGTGAAGGCATCTCTGCCCTCACTTGCTGTGCCAAGAGGGGCTGACGAGCCCCGGTTGCTGCTCCCACTCTGGCTGTTTTCCTCTGGCAGAGGTCTGGAGCTTATTTTTACCACCCCTTGGCCGGTTCTGAGAACACCAGTGGAGTATGTATGCAGCGCTGGGCGCTCTCACGAGCAAACGCCTCGGTGTGTCAGATCCGTTCTGCCTCCCCTGATGCTGCGGGATCTTATTTTTAGCCTCGTGTTGAAAGCAAAAAGCAGGATTCTTCTGGTTTGGGAGGGGAGAGCTGTCTCTCCAAGGCTCGGAAAGGATGCAAATCCTTTCGCTCTCAATACATCTTAATGATACTGCGATTTGGAGGGAGAGAAAAGACCGCAGCGCTCTGAGCAGGGTGCGGAGCGAGAGGGCTCCGATTCCTGCGGGATGGACCTGAGCATCGCCCGACCACAGGCACCGTGCCCACCTGGCCGCGGGGCCGGGCCGAGGATGCTGTCCCTCCCTCGCCCCGCACAGCCCTCCCCGGCTCTCGTGCCAGGAAGCCACAAAGGGCTCTTTGAGCAGGGGCAGCTGACACAGGCGCTGGCAGCGAGGCTGCGAGGAGAAATTTGCAGCTGGGGGAAAAAAGCAAATTCATTTCCAGGAGCCGTAGGGGGAACGAGTGCCAATTTCCAAAACAAAACTGCCATTTCTCTCTGCAAGGCTGACAGTTGCCTGGGAGCCGCTTTCAACTTCGGATCCTGCGGGATTAACGCTTTCCTGCCGGGGGTGCAGCTGAGGGGGGAGCACCCACAAGGAATGGTGCCCGTCCCTGGCACATCACATCCCACAGAGACAGGCTCTGCCGCGCTGGGACGCCGGTGCTGGGTGGGGAAGGGGGTGAGGTGGCTGTGTCACGATTCCTGCCCCTTCCCACCAGCCCCCAAGGGTGCAGGACCTGCTCCAAGCTTTGGGGAGAGATGAAGCTGTGCGTCTAGGAACAGGCATCAGAGTTTCTGGGTTCTCCCGCTCTCTGCCCACCCCTGTGCCCACCACCTGCTCGGACTCCCACCAGCCCCTTGCAGCAGGCACTATTCCCCCTCAGCCTAAGTTATACAAGGGTGGTTTATCCAGAGATAAGGAGAGACGGAAGTTTACAGCCAAAC